GGGTGTTCATCCAATCCGCGGGATTGATTGCTTTAATCCCGCGGATTTGCGGGATTGAAATTTTGGTGCGGAATTGCATTCCCTAGTCCCGATGCTTCAATTTTAGCATTAGCGAAATCAGGAGATTAATTTATTTATTTTTTTTTACATTTGATCCTTTCACTAATACTAAAATCGATGCATCGCAATCTTTAAACGCAGATATCTTGAAAACCGTTCACCTTTTCGAACTAAACGAAGAGCAACTCTTTTATCTAAAAAAGTCCTAGCTTTTTATATAGTTTGTTGAAATTACTGTATCTATATGGATAAAATAAGTACCACCCCCTACTCTCTACCCTAATGGAAACTACCCTTTCATGGGCAGTTACGGAATTTTTTACAATTACTATTCGTTTTGGCATTAAAATGTGTGAAAGAGTACCAATTTTCAGGAAAAACGGTTTACCAGTGTTCTTAAAAATAAACAAAATATATTATTTTTATTTAACCTTTCGACGGCTGTACCTTCTTCGGGAAGCATCTTAGGGCATATGTTGTAAACTATGGTTTTATTTTTATCTGTAGAATCACCCACCGAAGTTGGATAAACTATTTTTTTGGCACCCTGTATACAGAGTGGTCCGAACTGTACTCCGGAAACTTCGGCAGCATATTCTGCAGATAATAAAAAAAGTTCGTATGTATGTCCTAAAATACTTAGTTTCGGAGATACAGGGTGTAGAAATTTCATTTTTATTTCAATTTTTTCCAAATAATTTATAAAGTAACGTCAATATTTGGATGAAAATTCGTGTCTGGGATTTTTTTGATATGAGAAATTTTATTTTGATGTGTGTCAATGAGACTCCTACTTGTAGAGGGCGCCACCTATAGTTTTTTAACTGGTTTGAAGAGTAACAACTATTCGTCCGTACCTGTATAAAACTTCTGAGTATATAAAAAGATGTATATCGTGTTTATTTTTTGTCAATAATGACATGTATTGACTATTTCCATTCTAAATATCTTGACAACGATTGCTCGTAGCGATTTTTACCAAAAGATATTTTTTACATAAAAAATCACGGAAATGTATATTTTTCACTCAGTAGTTTTATATAGGTACGACCAAAAAGTTATTAGTCTTCAAAACAGTTAAAACACATGTAGGTGGCGCCCCCTATAAATAGGAGTTATATTGACATCAAAATCAAATATCTCATGTTAAAAACTGCCAGACAGCAATTTTCATACAAATATTCACCTTACTTTAGAAATTATTTGGAAAAAATCGAAATAAAAATGAAACTTCTACACCCTGTATATCCTAAACTAAGCATTTTAGGACATACATTTATACCAAGAACGGTAAACTAATAGGATTGCTCATCCTCATAAGACGTACGTTCGTCTCTTCCCGCGCTTCAGCTAACAGTTGTGACGTCATTGTAGTCCTTGTCATGATAGTGTGTATTATTAGTTGCCTATGGTAAACTTATAAAAATGACAGCTGAGTAAATTATTATTATTGTCAATTTTAAATGTGAAAAAGGTGTTTTTAAAGTTTTTAGAGGTATAGAGTGTATAAATACGTTCATTTTGTGTTGTGGATTGTGACAAAGTGCTTACTGAGTGCCTACGATATTGTTTATTAATTATTTTAAAGCAAAATATGGAAGTACTCTAAAATGAATTCCTCAAAAGGTGATGCTGGAAACTGCTGTTCTTAAAAATGCATTATCGGAGTATTTAATACGATTTATAAGTTAATTTTCTATACTGCATACGTATAAGGTGTTTAAATAAATAAACTAAATAATGAACGTTTTGCATCCGGCAACCAATAATGCACGTGTGTGTATTATTGGTTGCCGGATAAGGGCTCGAACTCACTGACGACCAGGTCGCAATGACCTGGCCGTCGGCTGGCCGGATGTATTGCGTTTTTAGCTGCGGCCAGATGAACGACCACCCAAGTAGCATTTTCACGACTTGCGACCACATGTTTACTAAACACAACGTTGGATAGTTACAAAAAATAGTTAGCTCCCTACCTTAGGTATTAAAATAAATTTAAACGTTTTTATAATGTTGTGCCGACATTGGACTAGTACTACAGCAAAGTAGAAGCTTCTGCGACGTCGAATAAACGTTGTCTTGTAACATTTTTTGCTTAAGTGACCTTTAGGTGATTCGGACAACGTAGTTACAACGTTGGACAATATAGGGTTTTCCGACGTCAGTTTCAGGACCTATTCCAACGTTATGCAAACGTCGTCTGTTTTACTAATTCCAACGTTGTTTAGATTTCCTTATTCTTACGTTGGTAGGACGTCGAGTCACTACCTTTTTGCAACTGTATTGATCCATAACCTTAAATCTTAAATTTTCACTTCATTGTTCTGTTCAGTCAGACAGTTCAGTGCTGTTTTTGTTTTTATAAAAAAAACTTAATTAAAATGGGACATAAGAAAGGTATATATAAAACTAAATTTAAATATACATCGACATATATTACCGATAGTTTACCCACTCCCTCGTTTATTTAGATTATAGAGGGCGGCACAAGCTAGACTCTAGGATGACTAAATTAGGCAATCTTGCGACTAGTATACTACCTGTTAAGGCCGAACTGCGACTTTATTAGTCCAGTATGCGACTACTCGAACTACTCCATCTTAATCTCCAAAACAACAAAGTGAAAGCCGCCATGTTGTTAAATAAGAAAATGTTTCGTTCCTAAAACAGCAATTTCTGCTTTTTGAATACATTAACTTGAAATATTTGACCCTAAACAACACGCGGAAACAATTTTTTCGACTGCGAATAAATTATTCTCATTTTACTAAAAAAAAATCAAGAAAATTTTTAAAACTTCTTTAATTTTAAGGCCCATTAGTATTTTTCAAAGTAGAAACAATACATTTATCAATAAAGTTGTTTGCCTTGGGTAACGAGTTACAAAGTAGGTTAAAGTGTTTCAATAATTATGACCTTCAAACATCCCCCACACTTAAATACTTTTGTTTTGTTTTCCTTCATTGCCATCTGACATACGTCTCTAACTAAATCATAAAAATAATATTTTTACTATAATTATCCCAATTTAGGATAAAACGCGACTTAGACGCCATATTAGTTTTGTATTTCTGTGAATTAGGATTTTAAACAACGTTGCAGTTTGTACTAAATTAGGCTTCTAGCCAACGTCGCGCGTCGGTATCCAACGTCGTTTCGACCCAAAAATTATTCTCCAAACTAGTGCAGACTAGGGTTGGCACGAGGTTGTGCCGACGTTGCGCCCCGACATTTGGTCGCGTGACACAACGTTGTCCCGACGTCCAAATGCTGCTTGGGCAGTTTCAACAGAGTTGTCAAATCTAACGATTTTTTACGTTTTACCAATTAGAAAATATTGTTTCAGAAACGTTAAAATATCCGAGTTAACTAAAAAGCGAAGTTGCTATTCACAACAAACAAAAAGCATTGTGTACGCGCGACCGACAAAAAGGGAGATATTCTGTTTCTTTTTTCTACTGATATGGCGCCCTTATCGACTTCAGAAGTAAACATGTTAGGGCCATCGTAAAAAAAGATCGTCAGACACTGGCTCTAAATATAAGCAGGTAGAAAGTTTAGCTTTCAGTTATTTCAATGTTTACAATAGTTTTACTTCTATTTTTATGAATGTTTAACTTACTTTCTTAATTTTTTTTTCAAAATAATGTACCTAGTAGAAATATAGTATAAACGAATAAGTTCGAAAAATGTTAAATTAAATTTAATATTTAAAATACAGTTGTTCTCCTTGTACATGACTACAATACAACTAAAAAAACTAATTTATTAAAAAAACAAGTGGTTGTAGAAAAACTTATTATTATTTTAATTAAAACCAATTAAATTTAACTTAAACTAAATATTATTTTTTTTATTTTTTAACATCGAAACTCAAAGGTATAATAACAGGTATCATACCAACTATAAATAGAATAGGTATGTCATATAAAAATGTTTTGAGTTTTTACTAGAATCGACCCTTGTTAAAAAAAAGGGATTAGATTTAAGTTTACCTTTGATCCGGTCTGTATACTATTTCTTTGGATTTTCTGCACGTGTGCAAAAACTACACTAAAACTATATCTTATAGAAAATAAAATATTGTGCCTTGAATTTAAGGGATTTCATCTGAAACATTATTAATTTGGAAGAAAACCGGCAACAAGCGGCAGAAAATAATAATATTTCCGTCCAGTCTTCTGGTCGCAACGACCGACGGACGGCCAGGACGTTAGTGTGCGCTATATCATTTGATTTAATGGTTTTAGAGGTAGCTGCGGCCTGGCCGGTGCGACCTGGTCGTCAGTGTGTTCGAGCCCTAAGGACTAATAAAATAACCATGACAAGGACTACAATGACGTCAAAAAGCGAGGAGTTTTCGCATGCACCTGACAGACACTTTTGGCTGAATGAGCAGTCCTATTAGGTTAACTGTTCTTGCATTTATACGAACTTTTTTACTTATTTTTATATGCAGAATATGTTGCCGAAGCTTCCGGAATACAGTGCGGACCACCCTGTATACTATCTACATATTACAGCACTAAATATTTTACACCGTACATTTGCATCAATACGAATAATACTCTTTTTATTTAAATTTTGGTTTTTAATAACGGTATTTATACTATAAAATATGTTCTCGCCTTATCCAGTCTGTTATTTGATTATGTTTCCGCCATAAATAATATCGAAGGCTCAAAAACGCCGTCATGAATTATACACTTTTCGCCAAGCGATTTGCGTATGAAACGGGGTCGAAATAATAATTCTCCCATCCTAATTTTATTATTTACGATATGCATTTCGTTCGGGGCGATGTTTTCCGAATTCCGCCGAGCATAAATCGTAACAAAAACACGACGACTTCATTATTTTCGCTAACGGCGCGGATCAGTTTGCTTTTCCGCTGTTCCGCCTCCCGCTCTATTTATTTGTGTTTTTCTTTTTCTTTTCAGGTACTGCGTGGAATTCGAAATACTGAAAGCGTCGAAGGCGTGCAGGAAAGAGGAGAGCTACGATGCACTTAAAGAAGGTAAAAAATTAATGATAAAATTTTAGTATTTTTTTAATAATACAGGGTTGTTCACCACATACGACAGTATGACATATTGTAGCTAAACGATTAGATTTTTGCAAATTGTAAGTTTTGGATTCGTTGAAGGACTATTAGAGCTACAATTTAAAAATATTTTGACAATATACAGAGTGTCCCAAATAAGTAAATAATATCAAAGTTGTATTTTTTTAAATGAAACACCCTGTATATTATTACAATTTTAGTTTCTACGATTAAAATAAAGGTAAATTTGATTAGGGTTTATCACACTTAAACCTTACCGTTTTTGAAATATTCCCAATTTTGTGAAATTGCAGTAAAAATGCGTTAAGGCTTCATTTCTCCGAGGGTATCAAAGTTTTTATACTAAATATTTACTGAAGTTGAAAAATCTATTGATCAGTTATTATGTTGCAATAATAAAAAATAATAATACGTCATAGTATCTAAAAATTTATTTTAAATCATTTCTAGCTTTAAATGGCAATAACTTGTTTAATTTAAATGGAACACCCTATATATTTTAGGAGAATCAGATGCGCAATTTAATTGTCTATTAAAATGTATTATGCCATTTTTACGCATCTCTTCAACTTTTCGTAAAAAATGAATTTTCTTATAATTTAGACCTCATTTATCAATACCCATGGAATATTGACATTTTAGATTATTTTTAAAGATGTAACGAATTTTTAAAGAGTACAGATACTAATATTGTCGATATAGTTCGTTTATTTCATTAAAAAAATTAAAAACAAACTGTTTAAATATTTGTTGAAGAGGACCAATTAGTATGATTTTAGTATTCAAAGTACATTAATTGACAGTTTGCGTTGATTAATTTGCTCCAAATACTAAAAAACTGAATTTCTGAATTGGTATAAATGAGGTCTAAATTATGCGAAAATACATTTTCTACGAAAACTTGAAGGGATAGGTAAAAAATGGTATAACACAATTTGATAGACAATTAAATTGTGCATCTGACTATCCTAAAATATACAAGGTGTTCTATTTAAATTAAACAAGTTATTGCCTTTTAAAGCTAGAAATTATTAAAAATAAAATTTTAGACACTCTGTATGAGGTAGTATTATTTTTACTATTGCAACACAACAACTGATTAACAAATAAACTTCGGTAAATATTTAGTATTAAAAACTTTGATACTCTTGGAGAAATGAAAAGCCTTAAAATTTTTACTGCCATTTCACAAAATTGAAAATATTTCAAAAACAGTAAGGTTTATTTTTGTGTGATAAACCTTAATCAAATTTACCTCTATTTTGTGTTTCCGTAGATTACTTAAATACCTACAAATTTTCTAAAAAAAATAAAAATTAACACTTTTTTGAGCACAACAAAATAATATTAACTAATCAAAACTAGAAAACGTCATTTTTACTGCATCACAAGCAAATAAAAATTAATAGGAAGCCAAGAGTCATAATTAAGGATTTCTCAGCAGTACCTGGGAGGGGCCCGGCACCCCCCCATATCATATGTCAACTTTTGACATTTTCAGTTGAAACAATAGCATTTTAAATTTTAATCTAGAGTGCCATGGTCATGATAAAACCTTTAAATCAAGGAGCTTTGGGAAAATATATTTGATCGTCTAATGTTTATGGCCATTTAAAAATATGCCTAAATCGTCTTTTTCATTATATATCTCATTTTTTTTTCAAGTGGCAGGAGTGTGGCTCATTATCATATTTGGAAAAATATTTTTTTTCCGATTAATTTGGTATTTTCAGTCAAATTGTCGTTACATTTATGGTCGTGGTACTCTAGATTGAAATTTAAATTACTATTTTTTAAACAAAAATGTCTAAAGTTGACATTATGATATGTCATTTTATTCAGAATTCTATTTTCCAGCAAATAAAGTAAAAAAATCCATTTAACTGATCTGATATCTGTTCTAGTCTCCGAAATCTCCCATCTCTTTTCTATGCTCAAATTATAGATATCTTGTACATGGTATATAAGAAAGAAAATCGAAAATAAGAAAGTCGATATGGGCACTACTAATAAAATAATAATAGTACTAATATTGACTACTAAAACTTGATGAAAAAATTACCTATCAACGTGTCTGAATGTTTTTCCGAGCACTCCTCCATTCCTCTGTTTATTTAATATAACTAATACACCCTGTATATGAAAATAGTATTGTCAATCTAATCAAATAGCATGTCTCAAACATATTTTTCCTTTGCTACACACATAAAACTAAAAGAAACTTTTCCAATCCGAAAGCATCCTAACATTTAACCTCTACATAACAAACCCATATTGTGCCGGTCCAATTCCTCGCGAAAGTATTTTTGGAAAAGTGCCTGGAAAGGCCACTTCTATTTTCCTATTACTTTTCGCAAACTTGTGGAATTCGCTTCTCGCTCTCTTTCGTTCGAATACACGTCGTTTTATAAAGTGCGGTCGTTCTGCCGAAACTTTAATTCGGTATTATGGCGCTCGGGACGGTTTCAAAGACGTTTCGCTTATTGTGCGAGCGACGGCGATGTCAAAAACGTCACAATCGAACGAAATCTTATTTTACGTTGTTGTAGCGAAACGGCGCGTTACGTTCGAAACTCGATTTATTCCATATGAAAACTGGTTTTCTAGCCCAGTCAAATTAGAGAAATCGGTGGAAAAAAATCCCGCAGTTTTGAAAATTGTTTTTAAATGATTTCTCTAGACCTGGGCTGATATATGTATGGCTGATATGTATCAAAAATCCCCTAAGATAGACGATGAGCTCGAGGAGAGGGGAGGGGTGAAATGTCACTTTTATGACTTTTTAGCTTATATCTCAGAAAATATGACACCTACGAAGAAATACCTATATAGAAAATTAAAGTTCAGAAAATTCTCTACAAAACTGGTTGAGTGCATTTTTAACCCAAGGTCTAACCTTTTAAAACTTACAGGGTTGACAAAATTAACACTATTCCTTATATTGTATTTTCGTATTTAAAAACCAGTTAAAGTCTAAATTTAACCTTTCATATTAATAATGGTAATATTAAGCATAAAATAATTAACTAGAAAGAAGTGTCAACTCTGTGTTAAATCGTGGAAACACGATACGCCACCGAAAGCCTTCGTTGTCGTCTGGAGAACTAATTTTCCAATTGACAGGTTGACATGATAAGGACACGATGGCTTAATTTTCATTTCCGTTTCCGGTTATTCAATGGTGGGCCCTCTTTCAGTTCAAATGTATTTTGTTTTTTTTTCTTTTCATAAATAAAACCAAAAAATAATTTATTCACATATATTTATTTCAAATATGGAACAACGTGACTAAATAAATATAAAAATATAGAGGATTGTATTGTTTCAATACCAATTAGTTAATTATATGCACTTTTAACGTAAATTAGTTAAGGTATACAGCCCCGGATCTAAGGGGAGGCAAACCGGGGCACCTGCCCCGGGCGCCAGTGTCAAGGGGCGCCAAAATCATAATATAAAACGGTTGAAAATCAAAAAAATTGCTACACAAAGCGCCTAGTATGCACCTTACGTTCTTCTATCAAGTATTCATTTAATTTTAAAACGCCCAGTTAGTTTTTGAACACATTTTAAAGTTTCATTCAGAACCTCGCAATTAGTGGAATAAATTAGCGGTTTCAATTATTACACTTTATACTTTTTAATTTACGATCATTCACAATGTTTAAAAAACACAATTAAAATTAATAGAATATCCTAGCAACAGCTTGCGTTAGTCAGTTGTATCCATAAAGAAAGCCAAATATTTAGCTTATAAAACAATAAACTTTTGATTTCTAATCACGATTTCTCTTGACGGATGCTAATCAATGGCCAAAATGACATTTCCCGCAAAATTTGAAGTATAATTAGTGGAAAAGTCAAAAGTTTGTTTACTTTTTCTACTAATTGAAAATGACTACCACTAATTTAGAGGTTCTGAATGCTTACATTGAAATTACAGGAACAAACTTCTACGCTAATTGAAACCACTAATTTATTCCACTAATTCGGAGGTTCTGAATGAAGCTTAAGGGCTCATTCTGTCCCGTTTACGAAAAATGCCTACCTATATCTAGATATTTGTAAGTTTTTTAAATTAATTTATTGCAAACGCTGGAGAGAGGGGGCGCTACTATCAATTTTTTGTCCCGGTTCAAAAAAATTGTAGATCCGGGGCTGAAGGTATAAGCATGACTTACAGTAATTTGTAAATAAACACACGTATTCGCAGACTTCAAGGACAGAAAACGGACACGGGAACATGAAAACGGGAGCCTTATACAAAAACCTGAAAACAGAAAAACATTTTTTTTATACTAAAATTAACAATATAAAAATATCAATAGGTTTAAAATATAAATATACTGTTTAAAAGCGTCCATTATTCCCTGAGAGACCTGGCTTATAAATCAAAAAGAAGCAAAAAGAGACTTTTAGTGAAATAACTATTATTGGCTATAGTTAAAAATGATCTTACCTTGCTGTAAATTGTTTCCATTTTCGAAAAAATCGCCGATCCAAGAGATTATAACACCATTTTCTTGCATCTAAAAAATGTAAAAACGGTGTTTATTTACTACCTATTTTTCATATACATGGAGCATACCTACTACTGCAGAAACGTCATTTTCTCCAAGATTCTTCATGTAATATATATTTTATATACTTTATTACCTTTATATTTATAAATTTCAGCCGAAATATTAAATTGAACTTCCAAAACGAAACTAAACGGAATGAATTAAAATGGCGTCGAATATTTTCTAATTCGTTCTAGAACAAATCTGAAGTTGTCTCTGAAAATGAAAGCTGTCAATTCTAAACTGTGAAGTTAGATAATAGTTAGACAAAAACAATGCTGTCCTTGTCTAGGCGGCCATACTTGTCGTGAGGAGAATGACAGGAATGACACTAATGACTGTTTCCAATTTTCCTATTTCACTGTCACCCCCCTGATATTAGGGGTCCTT